TATATATATATATATATATATATATATATATATATATATATATATATATATATATATATATATATATATATATATATATATACCCTTTGCACCCGTGAAGTATAGCCTATGTAACACTTACCCACTAAAGTATCATTTCTTACACTTACCCGGTACCCCGCTCAAAATCGATTATTTTATATTTTAAAATTTAAGAACTAATAAACATAACAACCTAATAATTATTGGATCATAAAAAAATGAGAAGTAACTAAAAAATTAAATTATTGGGAAAAAAAAAGTAATATATATTGTATAATCATGAATGGAAATATAATTTCTGAAATTAATGAACTAAAATATATTTGAATACTTAAAGATTACTATTAGTTATTTATTGATTTCTTAAATTTATCGATATGAATATATTTTATTAATTGTTCCAATAATAATTAGATGTAATTTATTAAATATGTACCCCACACAAGATAATATTTTTAAATTTTTAAATATTGCATTTTTCAGTAGATATTTTTATTTGTGTAATTTAATTATTCGTTAGTTATTTCTTTAAATAAAAAATAAAATTTTAATGGATTAGGATTTAAAATACAAATTATACATATATTAATTGCAAGCACTTGTCACGAATTTCAGCTTTTGAAATATTTCAAATCAAATGAACCGTGGAGCCGAGTTTACTCAATACCAGATTCAGAGAAGAGAAATCCGCAGAAGCTTTCGGACTTGGAGTTGGAACACGAACTTTTTCAACTACTCCTACAAGCTAGGAGACCAAGGTACTCTCTATTAGTAATTTTGGTCATGTATTGTAGTAACTCGTATGATGTATGCTTGTTCTAACATTAGTATTTTTTACTTGCCAGCTTCGGCATGTCAACAGCAGCCGATAGCTGGCTCACATTTATGGATCGTCTGTTGACTTTAGGTGACGATCGTGCCACTGAAAAAGATTCTTTGAAGAGAAAGATTATTCAATTGATCGACATCTACTACGATGCACTCGACGCACCTAAAAGTGGAAAAAAGGTAATTTTCGTCTATGCGTTCAATTTTGTTAGAGTGGTACTATTTCCACCTCCAAAGTATCTCAATTCACCACCAAAAATATATAAAATTTCATAAATACCCCCAAATTTATAATCCACCACCCTTCCTTATATTCGCTTAATCCTTACATGTTCTAGTTTATTTATATTTCTATTTTATTTTTTTAACTTTTTAATTTTTTTTTAATTCCTGCTCTTTTTGACCTTGGGAAATATTTTTCTCTGACGAAAGTATTATTCACTTAAGGTGGAGAGGGTGAGATTTTGCGGTAAAAATTCCAATGGAAATTGTGAGGGTTTTTTTTTATAAATATTTTAATTAGTTTAGTGGTGGACGGTTTATAAATTTGTAAAAAATATAGATGAAAGTAGAAGAAATGGGTAAAATGAGACATACATTTAATTTGGTGGTGAAATAAGATATTTTAAGGGTGGAAATAGCACTGTCTTTTGTTATATATGAGATTTATTTTCTTAATATTGACCCCTCTTCCATTCTCCATATGCTATTGTTTTTTGCACGACTACAGTTATTTAGTTAGTTATGTGTGCACTTTATACATAGTTTTTCAAAAAAGGGCAAATTACAGTCACCCCTCGAGATATGGCCAAATTACGAAAAAAACCCTTTTGTTTGGATAATTACAACCACCCCCTCCTTTTACATATTTTTACATAAAATTTATGTAATTCGGTTATTTACCGAAGCAAATCGTCTATTCAGTTCGGTAAACGGTATGAAATGTTGGCGTACTGAAATTTCGGTTCGTTTTACCGATTTAATATCCCTAAATTTGGAAGGGTTTTTACATAGTTGAGGGGGGTGCTTGTAATTACCCAAACATCATAACTCAGGGTGGCCGTAATTTGCCCTTAAAAAAAATACAAATAATTTTATGTGGTGTTCCATCAGATTGATTTCACTGAATTATATAAGA